AAGAAAATAGATATAGGAGTGAAAATCAATCTAATGAGTAAATCATCCAAAGAGCCTCAATAAGTCTAAAACACATATAAATAGATCAGAAAATGCAATGACTATAAGATTTATTTATTTTATAATAAAATGAAACAGGCACCAAATAGATCAATTCTAGAATATCTAGGAAGCAAGCAATCTTTTTAGTTAAAATTTTGGGAATATAAATGGATCAGTCTAGCTGGTATTATTGACTGCATGGGACATAATTAAATCAAAATAAGAATAATGTTTGCATAGGCTATTATAATTTACAGATCCCTTTTCATTTATATTGTCTCATAAACTCTCATAAGAGCCCATTAAAAAGTTACAAAATATGTTATACTTTTGTATTTAGAAAACTATCTCTGCTCTTGAACAAGAAGTCCTTCGTCAACGTTTTTGTCAACATAAAAGTGATTCTTTAGCCTTATGAGAATGGGTTATGAAATTTATGTTTTTGTCCAGATCACATTCTGCAGAGTTGTTTTTCTTAAATAGGACTGAAGAATGTGTCGTTAAAAAAGAAAAGTCAAAGAGTAAACAACAAAAAGGGGAAAAGGAGGACTTTGAAGGTAAGACTCAAACCTTGTCACATGTAGATTTATAAGCACTTTGTGATCTGGATGTATATAAAGAAGAAATTTAAATAGAATATGGGTTCTTCTCATTTTGGTTTTGGACTTTATATACCTTACTTAAAAAATACATGTTGAAGTAGTAAGATAATTGCATATCATTACCCCTCGTTTAAAAACTATATGGTAGCTGCACAGCCACTGACTTAGAGGATTCCAAAAAAGCTCATAATTTAGAGCCACAATCTCTACCACTTCTCCAGGAAAATAAAATATCTTTGAAATAATCCATTGGTAGAAACACATTTTCAAGTTTTAAGGTCATGCTTACATAATTCCAGAATGCCTGATTTAAAAATGAAAAAGCTGTTAGCAGGCTTTCATGCCTTCCTGCACCCACTTTGAGTCTGAGTCTTTTAAGTGAATTGCCCTTTTGGTTTGGTGTTGAATAAATGGTCTAATTCAGCTATGTGCCTATACCTTGCACCACTGGCCCTGTGGAAAAGTAGCTCTAATGGGAACTTCGCTCTCATTATCTCAAAATGATTTTATGGGAGAGAAAAGCAGCATGAAAATTGAATGATATTTCAAATAAAACAAACAGAACAGGGCCTGTGCCTGGCCTCATAACTGACTCACACACAGAGCCCTGAGAAAACACTCCTCCTTTTTGTGCCTCAGTGTTCTGCCTCTCTTTGCTCAAGGAGATCATGAAGACAAATAGTATAAAGTCTGTGGTATTATTAGTGTTTCATGAGGCATAAAGACTTATTTCTGTTTTCTTAGCTATGAACATTTTTCAAATAAAAAAGTAACTGCACATATTTAACAAATTCAAATTTTCAACAAATTGATACTACCCTATATTAGTGCACAGAGAGATCATGGTAACACATGTATGGGTTTGTTTGCCGAATAGAGGAATTGTTCAAGAATTCTCAATGTTTGTACTTCTTCCTGCTGCAAATTCCTCATTTTGGTGCCCCTTCTATTGCACTTAGTGCTTCATGAGTGTTTCTCCTTCTAATCCAAGAGTCCATTGAGAGCAGACTGTGCCCCACTCATTGTAACCATCATCTCACATAATCTAGCACATAATCAGCACTTTAAAAATGCTGAAAGAACAGAGGGATGAAAAATGAAAGACCACTCAGGCCATCACCCACTCCAACCCATGTAAAACTCTGTATAAGAAGTTTCAAAATGCTTGAGATCAATGTAATAAACAGGACAGAAAAAGTTCCTGACCTTATGAAGCTTCCAGTCTATCATATACATGGTCAATCAGACCACAAACAAATAAGCCACATAATAGTGTATTAGGTAGTTAACAAGTGCTGTGAAGACAAACAAATCTGGCCAAGGAAATAGAGAGCGATAGAGGGTTGATGTTTAATATGCTGATTGCAGAAAGCCTCTCAGAAGACCTTGTGAGAGGAGTTAAGGTTTCATTTTCTCCTATGGGTTTATGGGGTATGATATGTGTGCTGTGTTGCTAAGAACTGAATATGCATTTAATGTATAATAGTGCATGCAGTTGAGATATGTACCATAGACAGATTATTTAAAACACACACACACACACACACACACACACACACACACACACACACACACACGGATGGATCTTCACTTATCAGCACCTAGAATGTCCTTCAGGGAGAATGAAAACAACTGCCTCTTCAGGATTGACCAAACAACCAGACACTAATGTTGCTTTCACTTCAACATGATGGCCATGCTGGCAGTGAGGTTGCCACAGGTTCCACTAGAATGTTTATAAAATAAATGCTCACAGGACTCATTTAAGTACAATATTGAAAAATATTTTCACTCACCCCTACCTCCATTATTCACTTCCTGGAATGTTAAAGTTCTCTAAAAACAGGAGCTCTCCAGGATCTGTCACTTAACAACACTCATATATTTAACATTACTGTTTTTGCTACTGCTACTACTATAGTTATTGAAATACAAACGTCAGAAATCTCATGAAACCTTCCTCATTAAGTAAATGCTGAACCAAGCTAAAAAACCTTTGGCATATCTACCATTTCTTCTCAAACTTAGTTTATTGTATAATAATTACCCAACTTTTAAAGTGACTTTATTATGTGACCTCATGTATCCTCTTTATGACACTGGAGGTGTCAATCAACCAAGTGGATTCCAATTTACTGTCACATTTTCTATATTGGGGCAAAAAGTTACTGGCTCCCCTATGAAGAATATAACTCTGTTGAGAGATTTTGTAGCTGGAAAATTCTCACTCTAATATGTTGTATTTTAAATTTTATGTTTTTTCAAGTGATCATTCTCATCTAGGCGTAAATCCCAACAAGTAATATGTTTGGGAAGTCGTATGAACCTCTAAAACTCCCAAGAACTATTGTTTTAGGCAACATACATGATACTGAAGTTAACTTATTAAACAAAATAAACGATATACAACCATTCACTTTACTTAATACCAAGTAACCTAGTTAGTAGCTTATATGCTCTTTTAAACTGAAGTTTCATACATACAATAATAAAGCAGTGACAATCAATCAATGAGGGTGTGGAAGGAGGTGGGAGATCATTAAACCCACTTGTTTATCCAACAAAAATAACTGACTTATTCTGTAGATTCATAGCCAAGACTCTTGGAAAACTACACTCAGAAGGAATTAGACGTTATCTGGTCCATTTTATTTTATGAATGATGAACCATCTTATTTTAAGGATGATGAACCCAGAGAGGTTAATGAGCTTGCCTGAGAGGCCATAATCAGTAAGTTGCAGATGACCAACTAATGAGAGGCCATTCTCTGCTCTATGTGGTTAGCACAGTGCAGGCTGTGTTCTTGTGCATGAAGGGGAAAATAAGGCTCATTAGGATTCCTTTTCTAGAATGTATCTAGCATCACTAAAAATCCATTCTGACTTAGAGTAGAGCCTTCTACCACTCTGCCTCAAAAATATTTGTTTTATGACACTTTGTCTCTCTTATGATTTTTCCCATATTGTGTTTGCCAAAGTTAGACTCCTGAGTCTGATCCTATAAAGCAGAAACGGTTAATTTGGTGTGCCAGAAATGAGCTGTGCAGGGAGTGACTACAGTATGTCACACAGTACTGCTCTGCATGAAAGCTCAATCCTAAGAAAGAATGACTTCAACATCTAAGAAAAATAACTCTTACTGTTGCTATGAGGAATTTTTTTTACTCCTATCATATCTATTTTTGTCCTTTTTTATGTTGAAGTCTCTGATGCTTTATAGAAAATCTGAAAATATATATTTGGATGAGTTGGTTCTGATTATCCAAGTATGTGATTCAGTCCATGTATTAATTGTCATGTTTCATCTGCTTCCTGACTCATGGTATAATCTTTAGCAAATGATTTTTCTATGCCTCAGTTTCTTCAATGGCAAAGCAGAATTAGTAATAATAATCTTATCTCCCTTTGACCAAAATTTTATTAGAATATTTTTAAAGACTACTAGATTACACCTTTAAAATTATTCTACTTATATGTCACTAGTAATAGGCCCTTATTAATCATCTTTATTGTATAACTATTAAATAAAAGATTCTAAAGAGGTCATCTTATCATTTAAAATATGAAGACTAGGTTAACAAAAGAATTTGATCCATCAGACTTTACTGTTCTAAGCAGGCAGAGTACATTCTAAAATTGTGATTTTTAAATGAAATAATATTCCTCCAAAATGTTTAAAAGTTAAAAAGGTTGCATCCCCTACTCTCCCCTCCTGGTTGATGTGTTTAGATGATGGCTATCCCTGAAACAGGAAGAAGACACAGGCACCGGGAGGTAGACACTAAATGTAATTTTAACCAACCCTTAAAAAGATGAGGTTATTGTCACTATCTTTAGCACCTCTTTCATCATTTTTTTTTTTTTAAGTTAGGGCCATATTTTCCTGAATTTGACTACATTTTCTAACCAAAACCTATTTGTGGCCAAGGGCACACATTTACAAAATATTCTTACGGGTTCACTTTTTGGCTATGGGATAAGAAAATGCTAACTATCCCTGGCTTCAACTTTGATTTTAGCCCCATGATTCTATCCAACCAAACTATGTGGCTACATGAGGGCACTTGATAGAAATTTAGATTAATTTTTTCTTGTAAATTTACTTAACTAATTGCTTTCTTGATAAGTAATTGGAAACATTTAATATGTCTTCTGTTAGCCTGGATTATAGCACAACCCCTAGGAAGACCTGGTTCATTGGGAAATGTCCACACAGGGAGAACCATCTAGAGCAGGAGTCCCCAACCCCCAGGCCACGGAACGTGAGTAGCCTGTTAGGAAATGAGCTGCACAGCAGGAGGCGAGCAGCATGGAGCCAGCGCAACTTCATCTGTATTTGCAGCTGCTCCCCAGCGCTAGCATCACTGCCTCAGCTCCACCTCAGATCATCAGACATTAGATTCTCATAAGAGCACCGGTCTCTGGTGCCAAAAAGATTAGGGACCACTGATCTAGAAGATAATTGAAAAATCCAAGTAAATATTTCATGTCTCTGGCTACATATTAATCACTTGTTGGAGATCAGAAAACCAAAGAACAGAGAATAACCGAGAATTTCCTTACAAAAAATGCTGTCCCTCAGTAACTCCTTTTTTAAACCATGAATTAATAACCAAATGCTTTTCTCTAAGGTAGTGATTAGATCAAATTAAGAAGCAGGCAGTTCTCCAAACTACCCACCTAAGAGTTCTCCGAACTCTTATTTATACTAGACACCTCATGGAAAATAATAAGAGGCTGGGTATACTCTTTACATTATACTTTAGCATCCCACTTGAACAGATGTAACCACAAATAATTACTGAAATATCTGGTGTTAGAGTTAGTGGGGTGTAAATTATTGACCAAGCCATTTATGATTAGTAAAGCATGAAGCATAAGTTGTTCAACAGCTTTTTAATAAAAGCTTCTGTAGAACTTGACAATTAGTTAAAATGTTAGAGCAAGATACATGAGATTCAAAGGCAGAATTTCAAACTGCTAAGGATAACATCATGTAGTTTGCACAAGGGAACATAGTTAAGCATCTGAGAGGCTAGTTCAAGACAAATTCCATCTGTAGAGAATAAGTGCCTGCCTAAATCTTTAACATGTAAGTGTAAAGACTACTAGATTCTAAGGGTTTAAAGATTTCTTGTCAAGACAATGAAATCTCAGCTTCTTTATTGACATTTCTCATATACTTTATGGTTAAATTTTTGCATAATTTAAGTGAGCTGTGCTGTTATGTCTCACTTTATTTATGGAGAACCAGTTCTAGTCATTGAGTAGTTAAGGAAATTTTGTATTAGAAATTTTGTATAAGAAAGACAGGTCTTGAAAAGTGTCTTTTCTCTTAAGAAAAGAACATTGTTCAAATAGCTGACATTACTTAGCCTGGTCTTTACCTTTAATAAGCCTTTGATCCTGAGGCCAGAGCCCCTGGGGCTGATGCATGTGAATGTTATCATTTCAGCCAGGAAGGATGAATTCTTGCAGCAACGTCTGTGGGTCCAAACAGGCACAGGCTGCTGGCGAGGGCGGGTACCAACGCTATGGAGTCCGCTCCTATCTGCATCAGTTTTATGAAGACTGTACCACCTCAATCTGGGAGTATGAGGATGATTTCCAGATCCAGAGATCACCAAACAGGTGGAGCTCAGTATTCTGGAAGGTAAGTCTACAGCATGTGTTTCGTGCAGGAAATGTAACAGTTATTGGCTTTACTAAGTACTACAGCTGCAGAGAACTGAGAGTTTTAGAACTCTGTGTTTGCATCAAAACTAAATGTAGTTTTCTTCCCTTAGGAAAGGAGAATATAAACTATGGGCTGAAGAAAGCCTCTAAGCACAGAATAATTTTTGATTTGTAGGTTAAACATAAATAATAATAATGCCATTATTATTATTTTTGCTAGTGTTATTAATGTGCCACTAAATTCACCAACTGTGAAGCCATCCATAAACAAAACATAATATGCTTTCAGCTTCCCTTATAAGCTTGCTAAGTATCACTTGACAAATTACAATTATTAAAAATAAATAATTGAGTATTTAGAGAGAGTTAATGCTGAGACATAATACAGTATACCAACTCTAACTCTACCAGCTATGTGATCATGCAGCTCTGTGGGCTTCAACCTCCTCAAATGCAGGAGCCTCATTAAACAATGTGTTCAGTCATGCAACATGTAATTAGTGAGCACCTATTCTGTGTGAAAAAGTTGCAAAGTACTAGAGATTAAAGGGGTAAACAGGAGAAGAAAAGTCTTTGCCCTCATGGAAATTACAATCATGAGAAACAGACCATAAACAAGCAAAGCACATAATAGAATATCAGGTAGTGACAAGTGCAATGAAGAGAAGTAAATTAGGATAAGTGGATAGGGAGTGATGGAGGACTGGTATTTATATATGCTGGTCATTGAAAGCCTTTCAGAGGAGATGACATTAGAGCAAATACCAGGGTGAACTGAGGAAGCAGACCATTAAATTATATGGCTGAAGATCATTCTAGGCTGGGAAAATAGCAAGTCCAAAAGCTCTGAAATGTGAACAAGTTTGGTGTGTTTGAAAAATAGTGAGAGGCACAGTCTGATCAAAGTGGAATGAGAGGAGGGAAAAAGGAAGGTGATGGATTCAGAAAAAGAACAGGACACAGATGATTTATGTTGAGTCTTGTAAATGATAGTGAGGACTTTGGCTCTTACCTTGAGACATGAGAAGCCATGTGAACATTTTATGCAGAGAAGTGACATGATCTAACTAATATTTTAACAGGATAATTCTGGCTGCTGTACAGAAAATAGGTTATAGAAGGACAGTGTAGAAGCAGCTAGATTATTTAGGAAGCTTTTAAAGTACCTCATCAAGAGATGGTGGTGGCTTCGATTAAGATGTTAGTGGAGATGGTGAGAAGTAGTCATTTAGCATAAAGTTAGAAGGCCAAGCTGTCAGGACATGCTGATGAATTAGATGTGAGACAAAGAAGAGTCAATGGCTCCAAGTCTTGCAGCCTGAGCTATTTAGTGAATGACGTTATCATTTACTGGGATGGAGAAACACTGGGTTGAGTGAGGAACCAAGAGTTTGATTCTGGCCATGTTATACTAAAGATGCCTATTAGACATGTAAGTGAAGATCTCTAGTGGCAATTTAAATATACTGATCTGCAGCTCATGGATTGAGAGTCATTAGTATATAGAATGTATATAAGGCACTAGACTAGATAAAATCACCTAGGAAGAGAGTAGGGACATAGAAAAGGGCTTTGGGATGTTCCAACATTTAGAAATCAAGAAAAGGCTGAGGATTCAGGAAGGAATGCTGAGCCTGTCTCAGGTCTCCTCCAGCTCTAACATTCTGTGCCTCTGGGGTTTCCAATCAACTTGACTTTCTCCCAAAGAACTCAGAATTTTTTTACAATGATATTGACATAAACTTGCAATCTATTGGCAATAGTATAACAAGAGACAATGTAGCATAATAATTATGAGCATGGACTCTGTCCTCAAATTGCATGGTTCAAATCTCAGCTCTTTCATTTAATAGCTCTTCAACTACAGGCAAGTAATTGATCTTAATGGGACTCTTACAGTGATACCTACAGTACTTAAAACATAAAGTTGTGAGGATCAAAGATAATATTTACAAAGAGCTTAGAATAATGTCTGGTATGCATTCAATAAGCATTCAATGTAATAGTTACCATTACTAGATGCCATATGGGACATTGAGTTCTGAAATGGAAATAAAACTGGAAATCTAGTTAATAAATAAAGTATTGGGTAACATAGTTGTTAACATAGATTATCCAAAACCTGTGTTAATTCGAAATCTTACTAGTGTCACGTGCTCTGTTTTAGAATTGGTCAAGCCATCATCTTTGCCCTGTAGAAATGTCATTTCTGATGAATACTTACTGGCCTGGATCAATGAAATAATAGCCAAGCTTGGCACATCTTGTATTTACCCACATAAGTGGGTGGTTGCTTCAGCATGTGTCAAAAAAACAAATATTTGCTTGACAGATCTGTTGTGCCAAGAGCCTAAAATGCCACTGACATACAGAATACTGTCAGCATTCGTGTGGATTCAAAGCACTGGTGGTTATGTGATTTGCAATGCTATAAATTCATCAAATAATATATCGGTATAGATTTAAAATAAAGCATTCACAGTAAATTACCAACTTGAGAATTCAGATTTCAATATTTTCTCTCTTTCATTTATATAAATAAGATCCAAAAGTATTTATCCCTGTTGTGGTGAACCTACTTCAGAGGGCAAAAAAAAAAAAAAAAAGGCAAAAGTCCATGGTCTTGTAGAGATTATATTCCAGCCACATCCAAATCCCAGAATCATATCCTAATCATTAAACCATAGACTGGGCATTTAGAACACTACAGTCAACCTGAATAACCTCAGAATCACTGTGTTAGAGAACTCACCTCCAGCTCCTTAGCAATGTGCAGAATGGAGGGGCTTAATGAGAATCAAGATTGGAATCAAACAGGCCTGCGTTAGAATCTTTGCTCTGTCACATGGATCTACATAGCATATATCTTCACAGTGCTATTCTTTCTTTCTATAAACGTTTCTATGTCCACTATGCACAAGGCTATGTGGTAGTCTCTGGGATTCAATTGTGAATAAGACGCTATTCTTCAAGATACAGCCTTGACCTGAAGGAGTTCACAAATAAGGAACATAGACATATACACAGATTATTACAACCCAACATGATAAACACTCCCTCTAAGGCAGTCATATTACTTACTGGGAGCACAGAGTTTGGGGGTGAGGAGGACCTGATGCAGCCTGGGGAAGAAACAGCTCCACAGAAGAGATCACCTGTGAACAAGCAGGAACAGGACACCCAACAGAAAGAAAGCATTGCAAAAGCTGAGTTGTGAGAGAAGACAGTACGTTCAGGAGACTGCAAACAGTTCAGTATGGCTTGGGTAGAAGTTTAGAAGTTGCAAGAGAGGAATGCTGGAATGCATAGAAGAGCAAGATCACAGAAGACTTTGAAGAGCAGTGAAACAAAATATTCTCTAAAATGTTCCAGTTTAAGTACAGTGATGGGGCAAGACAATAATAAGTCTAGGTTTTCTTGGGGAGGTTATCTCACACACATACACATACATGCAATATTACACACATTCTCTGTGCCTCGCAGGTTCTGGATTACTGAATGGTTGCCTCAGTAATTTATCCCAGTGCCTACAACTGCTGCCATATGCAAAACTCTATGTGACATGGCCCTACCTACCCCTGCCACCACTGTTGCTGCCAAAGGTGTAATTTTTCTTTCTTATCCTTGCACTAGACTTCAACTAAGGCTGTTGCCACTTGAACGTCTGTGCAGCAAACAGCCTCAGTATGGCAGGTATGAACTAGTGAGAACAGTCTTCTCTCAGTCAGTCTTTCCTCACCTCAGGGTTATCCTCCTTATCTTTTTCTCAACCCATATAAGAAGCCACTAGGTACAAGGCAAGACTCCCTTTTCCATAACCTTACTAAAAGTGACAGTGATTCTTGTTCCTCTCTTTTCTCCCAAGACCTTCCTCCTGTCTATCCTGATCTCTCCAGTTTCCGCAGCAAGCCAAGTCAGAATTTAAACTTATGTCTTAGATCTCCCTTCAGAGTTTTGTTGGATATTAAGGAGCTGGTTTTATTCTAGAAATGAAAGCAATATAGAAGTCTCTTAAGAAAACCCATGTGGTATTCATTCTGTTTTTAAACATTTTCTCAGATGGTACTTGAAAGATGGATAAAGAAAGATGAGACTAGCAAGGGAGACCATCAGAATGCTATTGCGATGATCAAAGCAAAATATAACAATGATCTGCACTATTAGAGTGGTCGTGGTGATGGACAGGAGAGACAAGATTCAAGAGAGCTTTATGAGGTAGAATCAATAAGATTTAATTATCTATTGACTATGAATGTGAGAAAAGACTCAGTGAATGGGTAACTGGCAGGAAACGGAAAAATTATGCAGGAAAGAAGGAGTACCATTTTGAATAGTTTGGGTTTGATGGGCCTTTGGGATATTTTTGTGTAGATTCTCCTATTGGCTGTCAGAAATATGAGACTAGAGCCCAAGAGAATGATTTAGGCTGGAGTTGGAGATTTGGAAATCATCGATATATGGGTGGGAGTTGAAACTGCAGCCACAGATTAAACAATAGAGACAACATACTGAACAAAAGGTGTGAGTCGAGGGCGGAACCCTGAAGAACACCAATAATTTGAGAACAATGTCTGTCAAAGCAGGTTGAGAGTGGGTTATTAAACAGGTAGATATGGAAAGAGAAAAGAGTCGTGTCAGGGATAACAATAGATGAGTGTTTTAAGAAAGCATGAGTGTTTAACATAAATGCGGAACATTCAAATGAGTTAAGAAAAGGAAAATCACATTTGATTCAACAATTAGGAGGTCATTAGTAACCTCGGAGAGAGCAATTTCAGCGATATCATGGATGACCAAGCTTGGTTATCCAGGTTAAGAATGAGTTCAAGCAGTAGCCAGAGAGGAACACAGGGATCTAGAATAGATTTTGAATATGGAAACAATTAAATGTGTTCACGTGCTGAAGGGACAGAGCCTCTGAAAAATAGAAGAGCTAATGTGGGATAACTGGTACCACTACCCAGGTGAACAGGAGATGGGGTGGGGGGCTATGGAGACTGTAGGAGGTAAGGCATGTGGAATGACCTAGATCACATCCTGGCATAGGTTGTGACTTTGTAAAGCACAGTGTCCCTAAAAGCAGGTCAGGCAAGAAAGTCAAGACAGATGAGTTAGAATCTGTCATCACTGCTGGCAAGTGACACCACTCATAGCTCACATACTGCTAAAGAGAGGTCAGCAGCAGTCCTCGGGCTAATGAAGAAAAGCTAGGCTTCACTCTTGATGTGCTCCCCCTGAATTACCTCTAACCCAGATGGCTCCTTCACGTTTAGCGCCATCCAGCATTTTCTCCCACATGCTGTTCTTCCCTGCCTCACTAGTTCTTGCTTCCAACAGTCATTACTGCCTCCTCTCTGCCAGAACAGCTGTGTTGCTACTGCTGCCAGTTCTGCTTATTGGAGTAAACTGCATTTTCAGAAATCATCAGCTCATAGAGATACAATGAAGGAGATGTTGGTCAAAATAACAGCAGTTACTGGCTTGTCACCCCTAGCAGCAGAAATTCTGGAGTCCAAGTTCTTTCTATCCAGTCCTCCTTTCCAATAGCAGGGACTGGGTTTTTGCACATCCTCCCCGCAGCCAAGAGAGTCACCAGAAATTACAGTTCGAAAATTGTCCTTGCTGCTGCCTTTATGCTTTGTCTCAGCCTGAGGTGGTCCTTCTCTCTCTACTGGTGTTGATCTAATCTAATCACCCCACAGCCCCAGGTTGCTCCTCAAATATTTTATTCTTTCTGAAATCCAACATGGTACCAGGGTTACACTGATATATCTCAACATCCCTCCTCACCTCCGTTACGTGCTCAGGAAGTTAAAATGTAGGGAAGTTTTGATCCCATCATTGCTGCTTCATGCCTACTATCCCAAGCTCTCCCTGAAATATTTTAAGAGATTTGGAGGCCCTCTTTGTACACATTTCTTGGAAGATCCTCATTAGCTTTGCACCTTCAGAATCTTTGGAGTTAGCTATGTATTACATCATGCTCCCCTCCACAGATGGCAGGCATCTCTCTGATATTCAGATATACCAAGGAAAAGGAAGAAGATTCAGGGAGGCCAACCACTTTCCGGTTCTTGAAGTGAGCAGAAGTTCTGCCATATGCAAGTCGTGGTTTGCCTTTTAGCTTCTGAGTGATATTCCAAGAGTGGATTTTAATCTATAAAGTACTGCTCAGTTGAGGAGCAGACTGTTCTGAGAATCAGTCACCTGTCTCCATATTCGGCAGTCTGGTGGTTTAGGTTAGTCAGTCAGGAATATTTATTGAGTACAACAAGAGCTGTGCTAACACAAGACAGAAATAGAACATGTAGAGCATTGGCCTCAGTTGCTCTTAAGAACCTCAGAAACTAAGATGGATACATTTTTGCTGCCCTCAATTTTTGAGAATTAGTGCCAGTTCTTGAGGGAGTGACATATGAATTTATTGACATATGAAGCATGTCACCATGGATATTTAAGTTAATTTAGTTGGTGAATTCAGAATTTTCCAATGTGAGTCACTTTTTAAGTTATTTTTAAATGATAGTCTTTGAAGGTGAATTTATTCATCACCAGTTTTAGAAAAATGGAAGAAATTCATTCAAAATGTTATATTTTATAACCCAGTTTTTCCTGTACTACTTATAGCTTATGTAAAATAGTTTTTTTTCATTATATTGACTTTTTGTTTGTATTTATGGGTTTTTTTTTTTTACAATATTATATGATGGAATTTTGTCCATTTATGGTAACAAAATCTCCGTTACAATAAAAGAAATACAATGGTAGATAATATGCAAAATAGCAATTGGTGAAGTATCATGGAAGAATAAAAGGGATGGGGCTTAGAAATCTTGCACACCTGGGTTAGAACCTAGTCAAGCCACCTGCTAACTATGGGACCTTAAACTATGCTTCTTTGACCCTATACACTCAGTTTCTTACAGGTTGACTGGAATAAAAATACTTCTCATAAGATCCTGGTGAGGATAAAATGAAAACTACACCTAGCACTATGCCTAGGTCATAACAAATGCTGTCAACAAAAGGTCACTGCTACCCATCCAGTGCCACCAAGAGTCCTCAATCTGGGAGGTGGCAAAAGGAGAAACTTTATTCAAGTAAAACAGTTTGCAAACCAGGGAAACTCAGCCTCTTTTTATTTTTTTTTTTTTTTTTTTTTTTTTTTTTTTTTTTTTTTTTTTTTTTTTTTTTTTTTTTTTTTTTTTTTTTTTTTTTTTTTTTTTTTTTTTTGCAAATGAGGAATCCAAATTTGCAGTTCGTTTGGTCCAAATAGCACTGTCCTGATTGTCTGGAACTGCCCCTTCTGATTAGTCGTTATGGAGCTGCTCTGATTGGTCAGTTAAGATGCAAATGTGGATACAGCTGCACAGCTCTGATTGGACAGGGCAGGCTTCATATTGGTCAAAATATGATTCTAAGAACTCCTTTATAAAGGTCAGCTCACACTGTGCAGAAGCATAGTGCAGGAGGCTGACAGCTCAGGCTATGGCTTTCTCTAGAAATGCAGTATGCATGAGAGGCCTCTGCTAGCAATGGCTGCTAGACTATGGTTATGAATTTTAGCTCAACTTATCACAAGGAGTCCTTCTTGGCAGATATAGTCTTTCTCGGGGTTCACAATACTCAATATACTAGTTCTCTTCTTCCTCCTTTGTTAAGGTGATGGGTTTGGAATATGTTTTTCTTCTATTATCCAAACCTGCTTTATTAGTATATTACCCTGGAATTTAATAAGTAAATAAGTTAAACATACTTTAAATATTCTAAATTAAATGGTGTTATGCAGTTGGTTATTTTTCCAACCTTGTTACTCTAACTAAAAGCAATTAGAAACAGGAATAAATTTAAAATGTATTTAAAAAATAAACATCTATAATAGCTCTTTTTTATTCCAAGTGCAGAGTGATTGCAGTAATGCAGTTGCCAATGTAGCATATTACAAGAGGTACATTTCCAAATAATAACAGCTACTTATTACAATGTATTACTTAGCCAGGTACAGGCCTAAGTGCTTTCATGCATAGTCTCATTTAGTCCTTACGACAACTCTATGAGGTAAGTACTATTATAAATTATAATTTTGTAGGTGGGGAAATTGATGACTTTCCTTATATAATTCAGTACTAGTTGGCAATGCTAGAATCCAAGCCAGAGTCTGTTCATTCCAAAGCTCTGAATTTAAAGTGCTATGATATACTACCTCCATCTTCAGAGTGTTACATTTTATTAGAACTTGAGCTGATGCAGTGTAATCTCCACCTGCTACTCTTAACACTTCTCATTATCTGCACAAGTAAAGCCCAAATGGCTCCATGTTAGAGGAGAAAGAGCACTGGACTGGGGGCAGATCTGTGGCTTCTACCCCTGCCCCTGCAACTTGCTAGATGTCCATCCTGAGCTGGTGAACTACCCTTTGTGAAGCTATATTTCCTCACCTGTAAACTGGTGATTATGGTTCCTTCTTCATTGGCTGGTTCATTTTCTTTTCTTTTCGTTTTTTTTTTTCTTTTCTTTTTCTTTTTTGGCAAATGAGAAATCCAAATTTGCAGTTTGATTGGTCCAAATAGACTGTCCTGATTGACAGGAATTACCCCTTGGGGAAGAAGTGAGTAGTTACACAGATTGTCAATATCTTCCAGCCAAAATCACCAGGACATACCTATACATAGTTGAGCTAGTTGAGTTTGTTACACATCACAATGAGAGAGATAACAACATAGAAGTTTCTGTGGTGTTTCATTAAGGGAGTGTGAGAAAGGATATATTATAGGCTTTGGTTGGGTGATTTGGGGGAGGGTTTAAGGGAACAAGAGTTCACTTTGCATTGTCAGGGAAAATTCTATGAGTGGATTTCTTAATCTTGTCTATAGGGAGGGCAGCCTAAAAGGAGACCAATGCTGTAATTGGTAAAATAGCAACAGTCATTCACATTAGGCAGCGGAGAGGGAAGGTGTTAGGTATTTTATATTTTGCACAGTGACCTTGTTTTTGTCTGTGCTTAGAGAAAATGATAAAGTAATATCATTTTATCACGGGCAGAGAAATGAGCTTGTCCGATGTTATGTTCTGTGAGACTGATTGTGCCAACAGGAGAACAACGTGGCCTCACTGTGAGCTCCAGGCAACTTTGAACAACATGTAGGCCTAGTGGATAGAGTCAGGCCAGCTCCTAGATATTGAGGCTGATTTTTCTCTTCCTCAAGACCAAATGAGACAATGAGCAAAAGGAGCATTGTACAAACTGAAAGCTCAAAGGAAAAATCAAGACAATACTTCAGTTTTTAGTTGGCGTTAATATCTGAAAGGTCCTCTTTTCGCCTTCTTTTTTTTAACCAGAAAATTATGTAGGCATAGAAATTTGGGGTGACTGGAAAATTCACTGCCCCCCCCAC